TTTCAGGATTATTTAATGTATTTTCATGGCTGTGCTTTTGCATTTTAAGTAAACAAGTGCTAAAATGTAGTTTAAAAACAACCACCAAAACTGTTTATTGGAAAGTAAGTGTGGGCTTGATCTTTGCTGACTTTGTTTCAGTTTGTTTTATGGACAACACCTATTTTGCAGTGAGGCTGGAAAGCATTCATTGATGGGGCAAAACTCCAGTCAAATTTTTGCGGTGGAAAAGGACCTGGGGGTGCTGGTGAGAGCAGCTGAACATGAGGCAGGCTGTGCCCAGGTGGCCAAGAAGGCCAATGGCATCCTGGCCTGGATCAGCAATGCTGTGGCCAGCAGGGCCAGGGCAGGGATTGTCCCCCTCTGCTGGGCACTGCTGAGGCCTCGCCTCATATCCTGCTCTGGGCCCTGCAATTGAAGGAAGGATATCGAGGTGCTGGAACAAGTCCAGAAAAGGACAGCAGAGCTGGGGCAGGGTCTGTCCTGTGAGGAGTAGCTGAGGGAGCTGGGGATGTTTATCCTGGAGAAAAGGAGGCTCAGGGTGACCTTATCGCTCTCTGCAGCTGCCTGACAGGAGGCTGTGGCCAGGCGGGGTTGGCCTCTTCTCCAGGCAACCAGCGACAGGAAGGGAGGAAATCGTTTCAACCTGTGCCACGGGAGGTCTAGGTTGGACACTGTACTGTTTCACGAAGTATTTCACAAAACACATCACAAAACGTTGTTTCAAATTGCTTCACAGAGAGGGTGATTAGAGCTTAGAATGGGCTATCAGGAAGGTGGTGGAGTCATTGTCCTGTTTAAGGAAAGACTGTTTAAGGAACTGTTCAAGGAAAGACTGGACGCTGCACTCACTACCATGCTCTGGTCGACATGGTGATATTCGGTCATAGGTTGGAACCTCTTTTCCGAGCTGTAAAATGGTTCCGTAAATTCTGTAAACACAGGGTCTCTCCCCGGGGGACGGACAGGGCACTGCAGACGCCACACCCGTCTGTTATGAAAGACCTTTCACACCCACACAAGCCCAGAACTGCAATCCCAGCCAACAATGCGGGCAGGGCGGGCGGGCCGGCGGTGTCACGGCGGGATCAGTGGCCAGGTGTCCCGGGCCGGGTGCCCCAGGCGGGGTCGGGCGGCAGCGACAGCTCCGAGCCCCGCTGTCCCGGAGCCGCGGCCGGAGCCGCTCCCGCCCCCGGGCCCGCGCTGCTGCGCCTGCGCCGAGGGGCCGGGCGCGGGCCCGCCATGGCGGCGGCGGCGCTGCGGCAGCGGGTGGCGGCGCTGGGCCGGCGGCTCGGCCCGCCCGGGGCCCGCGGTGAGTGGGGAGCGGGGTCGGGGCCGGGGCCGGGGGCGGCGCGGGCGGCCCCGAGGGCACGGGCGGCCCCGAGGGCACGGGCGGCCCCGAGGGCATCTTCGCATACGGCGTGTGCGCTTGGGAGCATCAGAGCCTGGCCGCAGATGCCTTATTTTAATCATGAAAGGTGCGGTCTGACAGGATAACTGGCCTGCTTCGGTGCTGTATTATTATTATTCAGCCGCTCTTGAAGATGCCCCTGGGATGGATGAGAAAGCCATGTGGAAAAGGAGAGTGAGCCCTCATCGGTGCTAAGGGAGCTTTGTGTTCTTCCCTCAGATACGTTCTTAGCGAAAGGCTCTGCTAATCTGGACAAGCTGAAGGATCTTTGCAGCGAAGGGAAAGAACATCCTTCCACGCTTTTTCAGCTCTATACCCAGGTACATTGTTATGGACATCAATCTGTCTTTCAAGAAGATGTGTTGTGTAGCGTGTGGGAGACGGTTTGGTGTAAAAAAGGAGGGTGGGGCAGAAAGGCGGCTCAGTTACTTGGGGGTGTGTGGTGAGCACAGAACTGCTTCTGACTTGGATAACTTGGAGTCGTTCGTGCTGTTACTTTAGGGACAGAAGGGGGTTTGGCTTGACAGTCACCATCACCAGGCCTTCAATACTTCCACCTTGCACCTTTTGTAAACTAAATGTTAAAAAAAAACTTCGAATCGTAGTGGTTTATAAACTAACAAGTTTTCTATGTTACAACACACATCCACTTGATTATTTTGACAGTAGCATTTCTGCCTTGTATATGTTCTTGTTTTCATAGGCTGTCCTAGACATTACGTATTTTGAGGAAAACCAGCTTGTGGATGAAGATTTTCCAGAAGAATCTGCCTTGCCAAAACTTAAGGAACTTATTTCTGTTCTTTCAGAACCAGAGGACCTAGTGAGGGAATGTGGCATAAAAGAAGTGAGTAGCCAGAGGGCAAATTATTTCATTATTTAAAAACGAAAAATCTGAAATGGGACGTAGTATTTGCATTTTTGATGGGCAGAATTTAAAGTATTTGGAAGCGTTTTCAAATCTTTTTGGTATTTAAATAGGGATTTCTGAAAATATAGTTTCAAATGCCTTGTTGTGTGCTCAGAATTTCTCTGGCTATCATTTAATGATTCTACAGGCAGTTAATACTCCTGTTTGACCTACAGTGATAGGTTAGGCTAGCCTTGTCTCTCTGAGTGCTGCTTTCAAACACAGTCCCTGAAATAAGAGATTTACACAGTGTTTGCATGTGTGCCAGTGCATATAAGTAGTTCAGGTGGTTTATTTTTGTGTTAGACCAGTTTGTTGGACTTTATTTCAGCCCATCAACATCCTTGGTGCAGAGTTGTTAGAATGTCTTTACTGGAGAAAAGGAGCCCTGCTTTACATGTATTGCCACACAGCAAAAGAAAGGAGTGAATGGGTACGAGAAAACATTGCCACATTTAAAAAGGTACAGGAGATGAAAATGTTCTATGAGCTTTAAAGTTTGACTCTTGACTTTTAAAATATGGTGGTTTTTTTGTTCTGTTTTTTTTTTTTTTTTTCCTTTAATTGGTATTTTGGGGCTTCATAGGAAGAAGTATTTCTGTATATCATTAATTTAACGAGAACTTATTTTTTCCTCATTTTTAACTTTACTCAGTGTCTTAATGATGGAGTTCAGTACTTGATGAAGATGCTTAGCTTTAGATGCCCTCTTCAGCTAGATGAAGATATCTCACTTCAGGATAAAGACACAGCTAGATTACTCAGTGAAGGTAAAAAAAACCCCCAAAAAATAACTCCAAAAAACCTTTTAACTTACTCTTCTTAATAACTGCTTCACTTTATGAAATGCTTTTTTGCGTGTGTTTATTGTTTGACCTAATTTATGTTCAAGACTTGACACTTTTTAGAACAAGAAGATAAAAAATGAGGCAAATAAGCAGGCAAGAATGCCCACCCCCCTTCTTTTTAAACTCATGAATTTTAGGATGTGTCAGCGCTCATTTTCCCGATGTTTTATGAGTGCACTGGAGGGAGGTGAACTGAGGCAATGAGGGTTTGATGCACAGTAGTGTTTTACACTGGCAGTGTTTATACACAGTATTTTATTGTGAACCATCTAGTTCAGCATTGTCAGATGTTTAGGGCACAAATATGACTGCAGAGGGTGCCAGAGGTTCACATATTGATCTTCCCTTTTAGCTCTAGGACAGCAGGGGTACAAACACAATTACAGACTTCATGCAGGTATAAACTATATGCAGAATTGGTTAGAATTGGCAAATGTTCTTTGTCACCACTTTATGTAGCTTTATGTAAGTTTCATTCCTATTGAGCGTTTCTAGGAGGATCTGAGGCTGCATCAGTGTGATGCAGGCAGGGTGATACAGCAGGGGGGGATTTGTAAGGTAAACCAGCTGGTGCTGAGGACACAGTGTCCACGTTGAGCACACTCAAAACCAGCTCTACTCTGACTGTAGCAGGATATGCAGCACCTTCTTGTTTAATTTAATCTGAAAGTGGCATTGCTGCTATATAGCTCCATAATGTAAAGTCAAGTTGTGGATTTATTTAGCAGGATTTTTTTTTTTTTTTGGTGAAAGACACATGTGTGCCTTTGAATTCAAATACTAATAAAGCTGCTCTGGTTAATGTGAGTTAAGATGACCTCAGACAGTATCTTTTAGGCTTAAACTGTGGGAGGCACAGAAATACTCCAGAGTTAATATGTACAGTCATGCCTGTGCCAAAGAGGCTGTAAAGAAATACTGAAATTCTATGAGATAATTAGGCAAACAAAACTATGGAAATAATGTTTATATGGCAGTCTTAAAAGATTTTAACATTATGGAGGGCCAAACTGGACAGAGAAATGAGCATGGTCTTGATCCATGGTTTTCTTCTGGGCATTATATATTTATATAATTATATACTTATACTGTCTTTTTGGAATTTTCTTCGCCATTGTTACTGAAAAAAAATTAACAAGCTGTGTACTTTCCTATAGTAGAATAATAAAGTACTTGATCTAAATTATTTTTGCAGGTATATTTAGTGACACTCACTTACTGGCAATGATGTACAGTGGAGAAATGTGCTACTGGGGACTGAAACACTGTGGAGAAGGGAAGCAGGAAAGCCTTGAGTCAATAGATCCTGTGTCTAACAGGGACCGGGGCAGCAGATCACAGAGCATATCGCTGGATTTCCAAGAAACGGGGAGAAACATGTTAACAAAGTATGTGGCCGTCTGTGAGGGACCCTTAAAAGGTCAAGGGTGGAATACAACAAATGCAAAACAAATGCTGCATTATTTTGTGAAATCTCACAACTAAGATCCACTGCGTTGTCTGTGCTAGAAGAAGACTCGTGACATAAGAGCACACTCTTCGTCGCTGACTTATTTTCTTTTTTTTGTTGTTCCCAACCGAAATGTATACTTCCGTTGCATTAAAAACTCGCATTCCAAGGACTCCCGGACCGCGGTCCAAAGTGCAGTGCGGTGCTGGGGCGTGGGTGCGGCAGCCACCGTGGGCAGCGCCGGGGCGCGGTGCCGGAGCGGGGCCCGGTGCCGGAGCGGCGCCCGGTGCCAGGGGTGCCGGAGCGGGGCGCGGTGCCGGAGCGGCGCCCGGTGCCAGGGGTGCCGGAGCGGGGCGCGGTGCCGGAGCGTGCGCGGCGCTGCGCGGGGGCGGTGCCATGGCGGCGGCGGCGGCAGCGGAGCCGCGCGGTGCCGGCCTGGAGGCCGCGGTGCGGGGCGGGCTGCGCCTCCTCCGGGAGCGCTGGATGCGGGGCACCGCGCCCGCCCCGCTGCCGGCGACCCCGGACGGCGCGGGGGGAGAGAGCGCCCTGCAGATGCTGCCGGTGAGCGGGGCCCGGTGGGGCGGGGAAGGGGGGGGGTGGGCAAAGCGCTGCATTCTCACCCCGTTCTTCTGCACTGCTGAATTCGGGAGTCCTTAAACCGCTGTTCTCAATGGTTTTCAGATCGACGTGCAGCTGAACATCATGTCCTTCCTCTCGCCCCAAGATTTGTGCCGCTTGGGAAGCACGAGTTGTTACTGGAGGGCAGCTGTGCAAGACCCGTTGTTATGGAGGTATTTTCTCCTGCGGGATCTTCCCTCTTGGACATCTATTGATTGGAAATCACTTCCAGATGAGGAGATTTTTAATAAAGCCTTTTCAGAGGTCAGCGACAATGCACTGTATGATTACATGGCAGTGTAAGTATCTCCATATTCTCTTATATTATTTTCAAGTGTGCCTACAGCAGTAATATTCAGGCCACAGGTATATTTCATATTTACAGAAATAAAGTTCTGCTGTAAGCTGCTGTTTAAATGTTGATGTGTCTCAAATACATTGTTTATTTTGGAAATACAATTTCCTGTTGCTCTGTAGTCTGGTCAGCTCTTTCTGTTTGGAAGTCAACAAGAATGTAAAACATTGTAAAAAAGACAACGGTAATGCTGTAAAAAATTACAGCTTTTTGTAAACTGTATGTCTGCTGTGGCACAGAAATACTGCTTACTGTTGATCTTGATAAAGAAGTGTTCTTTGCTCTCAGTGCCACGGCAGTTATTTTCATAAAAGTACCAAGAAGTCTTCAAACTACACTGAGTGAAATGAATCTTCATTGTTTTTCATGTTATTTGGAAGACCTAATAATAAAAAAGTGCACAGAATGTGTACAGAAGAACAAGTTGTATTGTTTTAGGTCCGATTGTCAAAGGCTGTAAGACGAAGACTGATTTCAGCTAGTATAGGTGAAAAGCATAGCAACACAATAAATATGTTTGGATGACTGAGAAGAACTCTTAAAACAAGTTAGTTTGTGGTGACTTCTTTTCTAAATTTCATTCAGTTCCCTTGATTTGCAGTAGTGGTCTGTAGATTTGTTTGGGATTTCTGATTTATTTGCAGTTACATTTTCCAAAGGTGGTCCTTAACACATTGCTTTGTGGTAAGTGCACTAACTTCTGCAATCTCTGTACCCTTCATCCTCTTTTAACAGGTGGGAACAGTACCCACAGTATTTGATGTGCAAAATATGGACTGATTTTGAAATTGGATTTAAATCTGTTTAGGTCTGAATTACTAATTTGAAACCATCTGTCACTGATTTCCATTGTGTCTGCACACACTGAGCTGTTTTGCTGATCTCAACTGAAACATTTCAGAGTGGGTATAAAGGAGCTCACATGTGATGCTTCCTTGAAGTGGTTTGTTCAGCAGCAGCCATGACTCCGGAAGCAAACTGAAACTGCTGCTCTAGGATGACTGGTTTTCTTCATCTCAATTAGCAGTCCTTCCATGCCTTCTAGCATCCACACCAAACGAGCATTTAAGTTTGCAGACAACACTTGTCTCCTTCCACAGCTTGCATGCTCTCTAACTACAGGGAAAATGTTCATTTTCAGGTGGTTACTTGTTATAAACACAAAAGAGTTTAATTAAGGTTTAAAATGCACTCACAAAGCTGATTTATATTTTTAATGTGACTCTTCAGCTTTGATGTTATTTTACCTATATTGTGTATTCAGTGAGGATGGGGAATTCGCAATTCTTATTTTAAGTAAACTAAAAGATCTTTAGATAGAAGTGTACTGACGTCCAAAAAGTGGACTTAAAAAGAATTGATGCTTTTGCCTGCTTTGTACTGGTGCTGGAAATCCTCAGTTTAGAACTTTATAATTTTTGACCTACGCTTTGAGTTATACCAGAAGCAAAGCATAAGAAATGTGGGACCTAAATTAATTTGTTTGATTAATGCCTCTTTTGTATTTTGTGTTTAATTTCTAGTTGCATCTATTTTAAACAGATATAAAAGGAGCTGTCCTCAGGGTAGAAGAAGTTTGAAATCGAGCCGTCCCCGGTATGGGACTGTGACTTCCTTTTTGCAATCACTGGTCACTCAGGCAGAACCTCGCTTTGCTATGTTTGGGCCAGGTTTGGAAGAGCTGGACAACTCTTTAGTACAAAAGATGATGACATGCCCAGAAATTCTGCTGGTAGCTGGCCTGCCTCAGAGACAAATTCATGGTAATGATGGTTTTGGCTTTTGGCCTTCTTGTTTTCTAAAAAGATACAACACAAAATACTGAGGAAGAAATGAAGAAAAGGAACAATTTTTTTGTATCCTTAAAATTCAGTAGAATCATGGTAAAAGCAAACCAATTTCTGATGTGTTCAGATGGATAAATGCAGCAAACATTTGGGACAAACTAATAGCTTCAGTGAATTTATGATTAAATTTGGACATTGTCTGAAGAATCATTTTGCTCCTTGTACTTCTATTTTCATCCAAAATTCCATGTTACTGCTGCTGTTGTGATCAATAAATGCAGACAAGCCTTTCTTTCAGTACTGCTTGCAGTAAGTGGCTAAAAAAGACCTTTGATGATTCTGTATTCTGAGATCAAATTATGTAAATTTTACTTAGAAGAGTTAGAGGAGCAGGTGAGGGATTTTTTATGTTTTAAAGAGTAGCTTTGAAAGTCTAATTTGACTTCAAGCCAAGCCAGAGACAAAAATGTTTTACTCTTTAACTAACAATTATTTCATCACAGCAGAACTCAAATAATAAAATTGCATTTATAGGAAGCATGACAATTATTTTAGTGGTTTTTTTTTCTCTCATATGTCCTTTTCAATGCAGCTTGTCATAAGCAGACTGGAGCCTTTTCAATGCCAGTTTCAGCTAATAAATACAAGTCTGGTTCCTTTCTGTTTTAGATTTCTAGCTCCAATTCTAATAATCAGAAATACAGAAATGGTTTTAATACCTTTGACTAGATTTTCATGAAATTAAAAGTCTGATCAATTGGACCATGTATAAAGTTTAATTGTAAAATAGTAAATCTTCTACCCCTAAGAGCAATATCTAGGTTTGAATATATTCATTTTGTAGCACCACTGGAATTTTTGAACTACCACTTAATTGTATTCAGTAGCCAAATAGCTATAATCTCATAGATTCATTTTTTCCCTGTAGGAATTGGATCAGGAGTCAGTTTTCAGTTCAACAACAGTCAAAAATTCAATATTGTGACATTGTATTCCACCACAAGGTAAGATCGGTTCTCCACCAAATGAAAAGTACAGTTTCTAATTTATTTCAGAGTTTTCATATTTTTGTCCTGTGACTTTCGTATGCACTTTCTCATGCAAGGATATCCCTTATAAATTGAAGTTTCAATGCATGCCTTTGTTTTTCCTTTCTTTTTTCAACCACTAAGTTTTCTCATGGAGGTAATAAAGCTTTTCCAAACAGTATATGTACCAAAGGTGTACAACAGGCACATTACAGGTGCGTCTATCCCTCTTAATACCTTGGTTGAGTCCCTTTGGAAACACTCCATGAACTCATCCTGGAGTGTATAGCAACTTGCAGTTTGCCAACCATCTCTGTGCACTCAGAAAGAAAGGAAAGCAGGAGGGGGCAGTGAGACATGAAACCATTTTTCTGGCTCAGCCAGAAAACATGCACTGCCTAGACTTTCAAGATTCTCTTTTGATATTCTCAGTTAACCTGACTACTGAAATATCTTTCAGTGTGGAGAGGAGGAGAGCAAGGGAGGAGCAAGCTGTTGCTGTGAATAAGATGTTTTACCAAGAGAACAGCACAGTAGGGAGCCAGCAATCCATGCACTACAGTGTAATAGCTCAAGTCAGGAAGGTGTGCGAAGTAGTTGATGGATTCATTTATGTTGCTAATGCAGAAGCTCATAGAGGTAAGAGGTTGCTCTTTATTTATATTTTGTGAATAACTGGTGTGTTAGATTACAAAGAATATGCAATACATCAAAATCCATGTTCTGATCCTTTCAAAATCTGCTGTTTCTTCATGTTGAAGAGGTCTCCTGTTCTAGACACTCTCATCAACATGTTAGGGATTGTGGCCCCTTGTTTTGTTTATGGCACATACTGATATGGTTGCTATCTAAATTACATGTGGGAAATTACATGGATTAAAAAACAAAAAAACCCCTATGGGTATGTATAGCAGAAACTTGAAAATACATTGTTTGTGCTGTGGAAACAACCTTCACCAGGAAAACAGTAAAAAATGCAATTAGTCTAAATCAGTTTAGTCCTGTGAGATGATAATCCAATAAAAATTCTGGTAGTTGTCTTTACATTCATCAGCTTTGAACGGAGGAAAAGGGCTATCTCAGAAAAGAGACAGGCAAAAAACTTTGAAGGGATACACTAAGAGAAAAGTGCATTCAGTAGGGAAAGGCTGCTGACTGTGCAGTGTGTGGGTACTTCTGAATGGCTTGTTGTAATTTTGATCTCTGTGAGGTACTCAGAAAACACTCTGATGTTAGGATTGAAATAGGCTGCCATAGAATCTACGGAGATCTTTAACATCTAAATGTCATCAATATCTGTGTAACATAAGGGCAGATGAGTAACTCTTGTGATAAGCAGAACAAGATCATTTGGCCCTTCCACCCCTCTGTCTAACTGCCTCTGAAATAAAAAAAATCCCAAAAACGAAAACACTTTTTTTTTGCATATACTTAAGACTCATGCATTAAAAATTGTTTCTTAGCACATGATCGTCAGGAGGAGCTGGCTCGTATTTCAGCAATGATCGACCCAGCCCTTGGGCCTCCGAACAGACCTCTGCTGGTTTTGTCCTGTGTGTCTGACATTGGTGTGAAAAGAATTCCATGTGTTTACGTGGCACATCAGTTGCAACTTAATCTGCTGCATCAGCCCTGGATGGTACTTGCTCTTAAACCTTTATTTTCTGTTTCTCTGTGGTTTAAATTTAATTTAGGCTCTCAGGTTCCTTAACTATACCTACCTAAGCAAGAGTGCAGCTTTCAACACTAGTACACAAGCTTTCTATTCAAGTGAAAGATTTCATTTCTTTGGTGCTCCAAGATGAATTATTAGCCTGTCTGAAGACAAGAAGCTTAAGTGACTTGCCCAAAAACACACAACAGACTTAAGATGGAGCTAGAATGTAAGGAAGGACAAATTATGGTCTTGAGGGGAGTAAGGAAACTTCAGTTCATTTAAATCTGAATTTCCTAAGTCACAGCCTTGGACACAAGATAGATTTTTGGGACATTTTTAAAAGACTGTTTACTATCACTCAGTTGATGTGATGTCTTCAGTTTTTGACAGATCAGTTTTCTACCTAGGATGTGAGGTCTTGAACTTGTTTTTTTTATGTTTGTCAAGGACAGTATCTATCAGCATGGTTCAGCCATGCAGAATGAATTTTTGTTGATGTTGTGTAGCTGAGGAATAATTTAACCAGAAAAAAAATCCTGATTTGAGGTAATTCCTTTGTTTTCATAAGGAAAATGTTTATAGGCTTTTTACAAAACATACCATTTATAATAGCCACTGGATAGGATATTACAAAATCTGAGTGTTAATGATGCATAGAAATCTAAAGCTCTAAAGTGGCAATTTTGCTTTAAGAGTAACAAGAAGATTTTTCAAGTGGATTGCCATCTGTAAAGTAAATGTAGTCTTCCAGAATGGCTGATGAAACAATTGAAAAAAACTTCACCTCTGATACTAAGAGTGAAAGCTTTCTTAACATGAAGGTGTTTTTTTGTTTATTTTCTTACTTTCATAAAACCTTTTTTTGTCTAAGGGATCTTTACAGTAGTGATAAAAATTTAGATTTGATATGAGTGTTTCTGACTTCACAGATAGACACAGAGTGATATTAAAATACTGTTAGATCCTGTTAGCTGTTACCTCTAATACAATAACTTTTTCTTTCAATTTTATTTTCACAGATGCGGGACACTGTAGCTGCAACTTTAGATGGACTGCTAAATGGAATTGAGTGGCTCTTGGAAGAAGCAAATTGTAAAAGTGCTCAGTAGTAGGATTAGGCATTGTTGCCCTGTATAAGCCTTTTGGTGTTTTCCCTTTCAGTTGAAGTAAGAATCTTGTCCTTCCTGCCAGACTACTGTGAGAAGGGAAAACTAATAAGGCAGACCTGTATATATTTCACTGCACATACTCAAATCCTTAATATTTTTCAACTATATTCCTGAATTAGAAGTACAAGTAGAATTGCCTTGATTCTAGCTGTGACAAAGTGATTTGGAAGGACAATCTGAGTGTTTTGTTATTTTTCTCTCCTTTCAACCAGAGGCCTTTAGAGTACAATCTTTTCCAATATATCTGATGGTCTAATATCTTTTATAAATAAATATGTAACGCTACGTTAGTTTATCAGCACAGCCATATCACACATTTAGTAAATATATTCAGTGGAGATCTTTACAGTGACACTTCCTGACCAAAGAAAACATACTGCAGGTTGTACAGTAGGAGGTTGACAGAAAGACAGTAACTCTTGAATTTAGAAAAGTGAGTTCCTCTGAATTTTTCTAGAAAAAAGTGCCTAGACAAAAAATAGTGGGGGGAATTTTCAACCCAGACCAAATTTCTTAGAAGCAAACAAACACTCTTGCATGTGGGTTGTTGTTTCTTTGTTGTGATCTTACTTAAACCAACCACAACAGACTTCAACATCTTTTTCTTTCTGTTGCACTGAAAACATTAGCTTGAACTGGATATTCCTCCGATCCCATGAACAAATGTTAAATAGGATCAATCAGGACTTTATTGCATACACAGACTGTCAGGTTTCCCAAACAGTTGTGGCCACTTGCAGGTATGAATTATACCTGTCTTGAAATTTTCTATGCATTTGCAAATAGTTTTATGAAAAGCAAAGCAACATTTTAAAGCTGGAAATTGTGTTTCCATATAGATGTCTTTTGGGATAGTCATCATCTTCCACCTTTTGATGTTTTTACTATTGGATGAATGTTCAGAAACTTCACTTGGATTTCTTGCCAGGGCATTTATTTGCTTTATTCTGGGCCTTTTGTTTTATTTTCTCCTATCATCATGGAAATTCAGGTGTCTCGTAGCTTTTTCTTGGAACCCTAGATAAATGGTTGCATAACACACATACAGCTGTAACCGCCCTCAATCTGGGATACTTGAGTGATGATCAACACAGCCATGTCAGAAACATTCCATTTGAGAAGATGTTTGGAATTTTTTAAAGAACTAGAAAGTATCTCCTTTTTTTCATCTTTATGCACAATTAATCCATTTTCCCAGATTTTTTGGTGTGTCTTAATCAGGGACACATGGGAGTTTCAAGGGAAAATCCAAAGGAACATTACAGTGAAAATTCTGGGGTTTTTTTGGGGGGCTTTTTTTGTTTTGTTTTGTTTTTTTTAATAGTGTATGTGTGTTTTGCCCTTTAAAATAGAACAGATCCAATGGATTTGAGTGTTCAGGGTAAAATTCCATGCTTTGTGACTGAGTGTATGTGATTTTCTTCCTAATCACATTAATTTCATAGTGGTCTGTTTGTAGGGGATTGAATGCAGCTACCTGATTCTGTTGCTACTACGAACATGGAAGGGTTATGGAAGATCCTCTTTCTACTTTCTTCATCAGGAATAAATACTTTTTTAAAGAATAATAGTTAGAGTCTTCCTATGTGTGTTAAGCCCCTTACATGTGTGTCATCTATAGTCATTAATGAAGAAAGTTATTGGATGTTACCAGTTTAATGACGATAATTCACTGTCATTTCAAAGGGTTAGGATAATGTATGGTATGTAGTTTTTCTGAAAGATCATCTGTTAGATTAACTTAAAGCTAGAATACCTATTAGAATTACAGGTTTTAAGGGTGCAGTGTAGAAAACACACAGTGGGCATGAGAAGTCCATGCAGTCATGGAGCTCCATGATTAAATGCTGTGGTGGATCAGCACAGGCAAGGAAGATGAGCGTGTACACTGTTCAAAGGAGCAGCTGAGGTGCACAGAGATATGCTGTGGAAGAGGCAACCAGCTTGTTGAGCATACACAGCAAATAGTTGCAGAGATGCACTGCCTTTTACATTTGACAATTCCTCCTATTTCAGTTCCCGAATCTGCTGAATTTAGAAGCATAGAAATCATTTAAGCTTGGGACTGTCATTGTTAGAAAGTCAAAAATAGTTGTGTGTGGAATATTAGAACACGACTTAAGTGTATCTTAAAACTTCGTAATGTAAAAAGAAAACTACTTTTCTAAAAAAATCTAATTGGTTTTGTATTTATCAGAGTAGATGCAACGATGATGGGTTTGTGAAAAATCAAACCAGGATCTGGATCCCAGAAATCTTGCTTTCCTAGGGATGAAGGATTCTAAAAGCACTAGACAGAAATTGCTTTTGTACCCACTGCGGCAGTATGTTTATCTAAACAGTAGTCACAAAATAAGAGATTAAAATGACAATCTATGTGAATTTATAAGAAAACTCAATTACTGGACTTCACCTGAGCAACTTTCAAACAAAGGAAGTGGCCACGGGGATGCTAATTTTCAAATCTTTGAAAATTGAATAACAAAATGCCTGCTGCCAGCTCCAGAGCAGTGCCTGGGGACACCTGTGAGGCTCTCAGGACAGAGGCAGCACACTGTCACTGGTGAGATGTCTTGCAGGTTATGATGATGATGGAGCAGCCCTGGATCTAAGCAGGAGTGTCAGGACCCTTCTAGCTGCAGCTTCAGAAGGAACTGTGGCTCTCTCTGTGTCCTGCAGGATGGCATTGCTGATGTGCATCAGCACTGATGCTGTCCAGGCGCATCCCTACACCCTTTGCCAAAATTGCTCCAAGTAATCAATTGCACTTGGTGCTCAGAGATGCAGGAAGCAGGCACAGTTATAGAAAGACCTATGGGAAAATCGAAATGCTTTTCAAAGGCTCATAGACGGGGAATATGCTGCCTCTTAATCTGGTGGGTATTGTCAATATCACTTTGTATGGCAGCATGAATATCGCAGCTGAAAAGATGGAGTTGCTGTCAGAAGACATATGGAAATAATTGTTGGCATTATTGCAAAGTGATTGGTGTCTGTGATTTATTGTGTTTTTCATGCCACTCTAGCACTAGTGGTTCCAGATAAATTACTTTCCTCAAATACAGGAGCAGAGAAATAACATTCTTTGTTCAGTTACAGAACATGATATAGCTAGAGCCTGTACTTAAACCTCAGAGGGTGTCTGAAAAAAGGCTGCCCTCAGTTGTCTTAGGAGGATGAAACTGCAGTCAAGAAGGTAGGTAGTAGGCATAGAGCAGAGACCTGGCAAACAACAAAACATGATGGGTCTGGATAAGGGGAATATTTAAGAACCAGTGAGATTAGATATCTCCTGCTGCAGCATTACCGCATCTGTGCTGAGCAGCTGTTTGCAGGTACCAGTCTGGGCATTACTGGCCAAAGTTCCTGAGCAGCCATTCTCTTAGGAAAGGGTCACTAAGACATTTAAGAGGCTGGAGGAAGGAACCTCCTCCAGCCTCTTAAATGTCTTAGTGACCCTTTTCTGGATTCTCTCTGGTTTCTATCTCACATAGTGCAGGCTGGACACCCTGCCTGAGATTCAGAGCTACAAGTCCTGGGCAGAGGGGAATTGAGCACTTACCCCCAACATAGCTTTCATCACTGTGTGGGCACACTACTAAAGCCAGGATCCCTGGTCTACCATGGTCTCAGGTGCCCTTTGCAGGGCTGCTCCCAAACCAGTCACCTGTCCTGCACATGTGCACAGTGTGCTCTCTGCTGCAGGCAGGGCTTTGCATCAGGAAGTCTCTGAATCACCTCTTAGCCCACTGAATGGGCCAGCAGTATTCTCACTTGCAGTATTTCTGGCTGTCCTTGCACAAGGAGCCTACTGTCTCTGGGAACACCAGCCTGCATATGACAGCACACAGAATCAGTCACCTCATGGGAGAAAAAAGGCATTCAGTCTTTTTCAGAAGGGTGAAATCAATCAAGCCATTTGCTCCATCAAAAGAAAGTTGAACAATACTAGTCTTAGAGTATCAAAATTAATTCCTCCGTAGTATGCAAACTACTGGTAGACAAGAGCTGTAAGTATATGAAGCTCTGATACAGTTCCAGAAACAGATTTCACCCAGCTCTGTGAAGTGTTTCACTCTGAAGTAATCCTGATGACAACCCAGAAAGACCTACTGTATTCATTAAATTATTTAATACTACTCTTTACAAAGTGATAACAAAAAAATCACAGCTTTCTCACCGAAGAATAAAGGAACTTCTGTCATTACACAGTAACTGAGGACCAAGGGCTGTACTGCTTAATCCGTAGTGCTTTGTTGATAAAGGAATATAATTTTGGTGTGGCATCTCTCATGTCTTCCCCACAAACTTAAATTACAAACACATTCATGCCTGATACCACACATTCCATAAATATGAACATAAAAGGGCTACTCATCAAGAACAAAACCAAGCCTTTCTCTCTATTTGAATCAAATAATCTTTTGTAGAAGGTGTTTACACAAGTTTCCTAGGTGTAACTAGAAACACCAGTTGCTTAGAACTTTCTCTCATAAGACTGATGGTATTCTCTCATAAGACTGATGAGAGAACTTTCTCTCATAAGACTTTCTCTCATAAGACTGATATTCCCTTAGAAATTCAACTGGCTTCATCTTAAATTTTGTGAAGATTTAAAACAGTATCCTTACCTTTAGTTCATATGAAAGAAATAGGTTAAATCTGATCTGCATATGTGCTGTACATTAAATTTGGTGGGATAAATTAAATTTTTTCTTGACTCTGAATAATGAGGATTTAAGTAATTAATTACCTGAGAATCCTCTTTTATGACTATAACATTTACACATCACACATCCAGACCTTTGGCAATATAGCATAAGGATGCACTGACACAGCTATACATTAAGCTTCTTTGAAAAACTACAAGCTATTTGCAAGAAAATAAATGCAAATTACACATCTAACTGACAAACAATATTAAAAGAATCCCATGGGGTTTTATTTTCAAAATTAGAGAGTCAAAATTTGTCAAAATATATATTATTGAAAGCAAAGAACCCAGTTATCTAAGTACTGCTACATTTCTCTAAAACAAGAGAGGAAGCTGAGTATAATCAATACATGGTTGAATTATGTACTTGAATTCAAGCACTTTTCAGTCTTTTGTTGAAAAGAATTGCTGCTGAGCTAATATCAATATCCTTCTTTTCAGTGGAGACTTGAACTGCTTTTAGGTTCACTATAACAAAAAAATTCTACCAAGGATTTATGTTTTCCAGCTTTATTTTTACCACAGCTATGGAGTTAATATAAATAAACTGATGTACATACACACATTTGGATCCCCCACTATTCTGTGATCACTTGTTCCAGTCACAAGTAGCTAGTAACATAGATATAAACTGAAAAATAAATTACTGAAAGGACATATTGCTGTGAAGATTTTTTGGAGTGTCTTGGTATGCCTGAAGGGTTAAAGAGTTTGAGAGCCCCAACTGAAAAGGATGCATTGGAAACTGCTGCCGCAGTACCCAACAAGATTCATGGCAGGCAATTAAAATCAACAGCCACAGAAAATTCTGGCTAACATATAACTTGCTACTGATGTTTCCACCACAGTGCCTATTGTCTATGGGTGTCCCTACTGCCACCTGAGTGACATCCTCAAGCTAACATGCTGAGCCAGCTGCTGTCTTATTTCTCCCACAGTGGTACCTTCCATGCATCTCTGGTCTCTAAGCATTCCAGCACAGCAGTTTCCTTCCTGCTCTCTAGTCTGTGCACCAGATTATATTCATTGGCCTGATGCGTGATTTGCTGAGCAGATAATTGTGAACTCAGGAGTGGGAGAGAATGCAGAGTTGTGCTTCAGCTGGACCGTGTGAGATCCTGCACTCAGAGGTGCAGCTATAGGCCAGGAATCCTATCCTTATTCTAATCACTTTCTGGGCATATAAATTTACCCCATGTTTGAGCACACAGAGTTGCATACGCCAGGAGAAATGAAGGTCTTGGAATGTTTGAAACACAGAATCCACAGAATTTCAATGGTTATCACACAATATGCAGTGAAATGCATGAAGTCTGATCTTGTATTCTTAGTGAAAATGCTGCTTGGATATTTCTGTGTATTTATATGCTGCTAATTTGGTTTTGGTTTATGCACATCAAAGTGGAATGAAGATAACTGGATATTGGAATATCATTGTTGTCACAGTATTCCCTGAAATGGTGAGAAAGCTCAGGTTGTTCCTGAATGGGACTTACAACATACCCAGGGGCTGTCAAGCTTCATATTATCTGCATGCAGGTAGAAGCTAGCACAGCAATTAGGGCATCACTCCTCAGAACAGATATCATTTTCCTGATGTCTCTGAAATACCTAACCAAACTGCCTACATTTGAAAGTTGTATCCAACGAGATACTGAATTCAGAAAAAATTAGCTGTTCTTGAAAAACTGTAAGAAGGTCCAACCTTATTCCAAAATAAGAGTACTTTGTTCATTTGAAGTGGGTCAAACTATGCCAGAAGTACATACCCCTTTTCTGGGTAAAGAGCACCAGCACACTGGATTTATACTCTGGGACAAAGTATTGTAAAACAGTCCCAGAGTAAATTCACAG